TGTCGCTGGGGTCATTGCTGCTGCCGCTGATGACTAAACACGTGAGAAGACATGGATGTTCTGGCAGCACTGTAAACGGATGCACCTATTGCTTTTCTGACAGAGTACCTGTTTGAGCTGCGTTTTGCTTTCCTCAGCGGAGGCTTTACCTGCAAGCTGTTTCCAGTGGAACTCTACCACCAGTTCAACCAGGACTGAAGTCTTAAAGATCAGAACTTTAAATATATATGCAGATGAAGGGCCAGTGAGACACCCCATGAATTCAGGCCCCATATTTATATTATCTTGACAGAAGTAGCTGGCAAAGATATTTGGACTAGGTTGAGTCATAATTTCCTCATCCCTTTTTAAAATTCAGAGCTGTGTGAAATAAGAAGAGTTATTGTTTGTCTATATGACAGCATTATGGCGTTTTGAACTGGTCTCTGTACGTCCGCAGCTCAGGCTCCCTTTTCATATTATTTTGAAAAACAAAATATTATTTTCATATTATTTTTTGAAAAACAAAAATTCTATAGCCGCGGATTTTGTTCAGGCAACACCTAAAAACAAATCCTTGACACTTGTAAAAGACTCAGAATTGAGGATAAAATCCTTTTATTTAGTATATTTTATTTTAGCTTTCCTTTAAAGGAATGTTGGGTGAATGTGTCTCTGACACAGTGGAAGGTCAGAGTACTTTCCCGAGGCAGACTTGGGCAACTTCTTCTTCTTATTATTTTTTGCCAAGATATGTTCTCTTTATGAAAGGCAAGGCAGATGTGCTGCCTACTGGCTTCTAGCAGACACCAAGGTAATAAGCAGGAGAAGCAAGTAAACACAGACAGTTTCTTCGAGGACCAGGGAGGCTAAAGAGCCTCTGATCCCAATGAGGCAGACAAGAGCAGAGCAACTTCCACACAGGGACACGGGGGGCACTTGGCTTGATAGGGGTATTTGAGCTAAACACAGTGTTACTTGACTCAATTAGAGGTACACTTTGGGGTCAGCTACTTGGGTGCGAATGAGGCCTATCCAAAAAGCCAGTCAGAGAACATCACAGACCAGATGATTAGAGGCACTTGAGGCAGACCACAGGGATGTGGAGGAGGTGCTGGCACTAACCAGAGTTTAAACAGAGGAGCATGCTCTTCTTTGAACTTGCAGCAAATCACCATTTCAACAGGTGACAGGACAGAAAACACTTAGTGATTTCCAGTTTGATGTACTTTACTGCTGTTCACGCTGGGGACTCAAGAGGATGCTATTCATTGTGCCTCCACTAACATACATAAATTAAAGTTTGCTCTTATTATGAGCACCTTTAATTAAGTGGAAGCCAGATGTTGAGCATGACAGTGAGACTGACTTGCCATTTTATTTCACTGTCTTGTTTTGCCCTTGTTGCCATTTTTCCTTTGCTACTTTTCACACATGCACTGTAATTAAGAGGCCAGCTAGTTATGTAGAGTTGGAAGACCTCTTCATTCTTAATCTCAATAAAATAGCCCTCAGTTGAGACACTGTTAGAGCTATCTGAATATGTTAATGTTATACCCACACAAGTAGAGGTCCTAATAGAGAGCAGCCACATGAATGTGCTGAAGAACGCTCATGCATGTCAGATTTGCCAATGCTTAATAAAAATGTTTGATTGCACATGTGCCTCAGTTGGTTGGCTTCCCTCATTTATACAGTGCCTTGCGAAAGTATTTGGCCCCCTTGAACTTTGCGACCTTTTGCCACATTTCAGGCTTCAAACATAAAGATATAAAACTGTAATTTTTTTGTGAAGAATCAACAACAAGTGGGACACAATCATGAAGTGGAATGAAATTTATTGGATATTTCAAACTTTTTTAACAAATAAAAAACTGAAAAATTGGGCGTGCAAAATTATTCAGCCCCCTTAAGTTAATACTTTGTAGCGCCACCTTTTGCTGCGATTACAGCTGTAAGTCGCTTGGGGTATGTCTCTATCAGTTTTGCACATCGAGAGACTGAAATTTTTGCCCATTCCTCCTTGCAAAACAGCTTGAGCTCAGTGAGGTTGGATGGAGAGCGTTTGTGAACAGCAGTTTTCAGTTCTTTCCACAGATTCTTGATTGGATTCAGGTCTGGACTTTGACTTGGCCATTCTAACACCTGGATATGTTTATTTGTGAACCATTCCATTGTAGATTTTGCTTTATGTTTTGGATCATTGTCTTGTTGGAAGACAAATCTCCGTCCCAGTCTCAGGTCTTTTGCAGACTCCATCAGGTTTCCTTCCAGAATGGTCCTGTATTTGGCTCCATCCATCTTCCCATCAATTTTAACCATCTTCCCTGTCCCTGCTGAAGAAAAGCAGGCCCAAACCATGATGCTGCCACCACCATGTTTGACAGTGGGGATGGTGTGTTCAGGGTGATGAGCTGTGTTGCTTTTACGCCAAACATAATGTTTTGCATTGTTGCCAAAAAGTTCGATTTTGGTTTCATCTGACCAGAGCACCTTCTTCCACATGTTTGGTGTGTCTCCCAGGTGGCTTGTGGCAAACTTTAAATGACACTTTTTATGGATATCTTTAAGAAATGGCTTTCTTCTTGCCACTCTTCCATAAAGGCCAGATTTGTGCAGTATACGACTGATTGTTGTTTTATGGACAGAGTCTCCCACCTCAGCTGTAGATCTCTGCAGTTCATCCAGAGTGATCATGGGCCTCTTGGCTGCATCTCTGATCAGTCTTCTCCTTGTGTGAGCTGAAAGTTTAGAGGGACGGCCAGGTCTTGGTGGATTTGCAGTGGTCTGATACTCCTTCCATTTCAATATTATCGCTTGCACAGTGCTCCTTGGGGTGTTTAAAGCTTGGGAAATCTTTTTGTATCCAAATCCGGCGTTAAACTTCTCCACAACAGTATCTCGGACCTGCCTGGTGTGTTCCTGGTGTGTTCCTTGTTCTTCATGATGCTCTTTGCGCTTTAAACGGACCTCTGAGACTATCACAGTGCAGGTGCATTTATACGGAGACTTGATTACACACAGGTGGATTCTATTTATCATCATTAGTCATTTAGGTCAACATTGGATCATTCAGAGATCCTCACTGAACTTCTGGAGAGAGTTTGCTGCACTGAAAGTAAAGGGGATGAATAAGTTTGACATATCCAATAAATTTCGTTCCACTTCATGATTGTGTCCCACTTGTTGTTGATTCTTCACAAAAAAATTACAGTTTTATATCTTTATGTTTGAAGCCTGAAATGTGGCAAAAGGTCGCAAAGTTCAAGGGGGCCGAATACTTTCGCAAGGCACTGTATGTACGCACACACACACACGGGTCTCACATACAAGTTTCAGGGAGGATTAGATAAAAGGCACCTGTTCCGATTACACACATACACATACACCCACATTGAAAGAAGTCTTTGTCTTGAGATGGTACAAGATGGTACTCAGAATCAGGGAGTGCATACATTTTAAAGGACAGTTTGTGCTGTCTTTTAATGAGCAGACAGTTCAGATATTCTGTGTGGACAGAGTTCACCACAGTTTAAGGCATATATGAGCAAAACTCAAATTTCCATTACAACTTTTACTAGAGTACTTCTACATTGTAGTATTACTACTTTTACTAAACTAAAAAATATGAGTACTTCATCCATAGTGCTCATTTAATAGGTTAAAAAAACATCATGCAACAAGATTAAAGTCTTTAATCAGTATTAGTCTGACCCATCTTTATCACTGCAATCAGAACAAAATATGTATTTTAATAACACAAATGTCTCATCATAAAAGGTACAAATATAGACAAACACTAAAAGACAGCATCTCCTTGTGGCAGTCTCACAATAATTTATCAAAATGCCACTTACAGTAGATGAGGACTGGTGGACAGAAGATAAACGATAGACTTTTCACATAAATTGCATATAAAATTACCAGTGTGCTGTCTACGTAGGGTGTTTCTTCAAGGTGTTAAAATAATGGGTCTTTACAAAACAAAGTTTTTTCATGTACAAATACAGAAACAGCATCAAAGTGACTGGTGTTATCTCTATCACTGGTGGTCTGTCATATCACAAAGGAGAGGGGAGGCCTTTGGGGCTCGGCTTATTCATCCACTGGTTGCGACGGAGGCTTACTACGAAGCTCAGTCTATTTCACAGCATAGCCGATGATGTGTGGTTTGACTAGAAACATCATCGGTGCTTCAATGTGTCTTAGTTTGAGTTCAGAGAATGGAGCCGCTTCCAGATATTTCCATGTCTCCCGGGTGACTTCACATCCGTGACTAAGGTAGCACCATGCAGGCAGGAGTACATGCTGGAAGAAGTACGTCCAAGTTGAGGCATCAGCAACAACGTGCTCTAAGAAAAAGTAGGCTCCACCCTGCAGAGCAAACGGTTTGTTAATGCATCTCACAAAAGCTTCCATTGCACCTGACACGTAGTGATCAGTTTTCTTCCTGGCAGGAACTGATTTCCATATTTTCCATGTTTTATAATAAATATATATTTTTTGGTATATTTAGTCTGTTGATGGCACCATCTCTTATTTCAGGTAATGTGTGTTATTACAGTTTTTCTCAGTTGCTTTTGTCAACACTGACATTCAAGATTTTAATCAATTTGGTATTAGCCTAATATATCAGCTGCTAGATTTTTTACATTAACACCACTAATATTTTGGGAAAACCAAACAGGACCATACTGTTGTTGTTTGTGAACGAGCTGGACTAGTTAACAATTTCCAGTGTTCAAGGACTAACCGAGAACATTATCAGAACATTGACCACAATAATTTCTTTCTTTCCTTCTGGCTGCAAATCAGCATTTCACTGAGACTAGTTTTAATCTGAACTAAATATCATTATTATTATTATTATTATTTCAGGTACAAGACGACTTACTGGACGCAAAATGCGGTGTACCTCTCGCAGAGTTTGCTTGATGTTCCTGACAGAGCACAGCACGTGGGTGATGACAACAGCGTCTACCGATTCGTCCTCAACTGACCCCATGTCTTCCCCACATGTCACGATAAATCTGTCATATTTGAGGTGGTCGTTCTCTCCCATGTTTTTCTCCAGATATTTCTCAAAATGAGGATTCGGGTCAGTGCAGATCACCTTAGAACCGGGCGGATAAAACTCAAAATTTGCGCCGGTGCCGCAGCCAATCTCCAAAATTGTTAACTGTCCGTCAGGATTTTTGAACTCGGGGAGGTTGAGAAACAGCTCCTTCTTCTTGCTGTATATTCTCTGGTTCATGTTTTTAGCAATCCGATACATCCAACATGGAAAGAAACGTTTGTATAATGCATACAGGCCAACCGCATAGATCAGGTGAAGCGGCAAGCATAACACATTTACAACACAAGTACAAAACCTCATTAGAAAACTCATTTTTGCTGAGTCTGACCTTAGTAGCAAACAGCTGCATCTACATCAGACTGGGAAGTTAACTCCTGCTACAACAACAGAGGACGTCCGGCGCAGATTTTCAAAATAAAGGTCGACGACTCAGTCCACATACAGAGGTGAAAAACTGTAAGTGGCACTTTCGCTTAGCGATATCGTGTCGTTCGTGTGTAAGGGCTCATTGACAGAATATTGGTTCGAAAATTATTATGGGCGTGCGGACAAAAACGTACAAAAATTTGCCTCCAGTGTGAAAAGACGTTAAATGGGAATCCATAGACATAAGCGCGAACTTTACGGAAGCGTGGCGAGTCACAGGCACTATTTTTAGCTCTCTATATCAACTTACTGAATCTTTTGAACCCTCTTGAACTGTAGTGGCAAAACATTTTGTTGTTCTCTGGTTTATGAGTACAGAAGCCCGATACATAAAACATGTGAAGAAACGTTTGTATAATGCATACAGGCCAACCGCATAGATCAGGTGAAGCGGCAAGCATAACACATTTACAACACAAGTACAAAACCTCATTAGAAAACTCATTTTTGCTGAGTCTGACCTTAGTAGCAAACAGCTGCATCTACATCAGACTGGGAAGTTAACTCCTGCTACAACAACAGAGGACGTCCGGCGCAGATTTTCAAAATAAAGGTCGACGACCCAGTCCTTCCACATACAGAGGTGAAAAACTGTAAGTGGCGCTTTCGCTTAGCGATATCGTGTCGTTCGTGTGTAAGGGCTCATTGACAGAATATTGGTTCGAAAATTATTATGGGCGTGCGGACAAAAACGTACAAAAATTTGCCTCCAGTGTGAAAAGACGTTAACTGGGAATCCATAGACATAAGTGCGAACTTTACGGAGCCGTGGCGAGTCACAGGCACTATTTTTAGCTCTCTATATCAACTTACTGAATCTTTTGAACCCTCTTGAACTGTAGTGGCAAAACATTTTGTTTCAGCATGCTTTAATCTATCCATGAGTTTTCTGCCACTTACTAGGGTGGGTCCGGTTACTGTAGAACAGTGCTCTGGAAAGATCGAAGCCCATAGTCTGTTGCTATGTTAAGTATTTTCCTCACAATACCGAAATACCTTGAAAACTAAACATAAAAATAGCTTAATGAATGACAAAGCATGCCAAGCATTTGATTTCATCTAGACATTAAGCTGCAGTTTTGGAAAATTCCACCAGATAGAGACATTGCTGGGTCCTAAAAAAATCCCCCTGTATTTTGAAGGGTTAAGGATAATATGGAAGAGGAGAGGATTAGGGCCACTGCTTTATTTGAATCCTGACATTAAACTCTGAGTTTACAGTTCTCTTCTGTAGGATTACAATATATGCAGTTGAAAGAAATTTATTTCAGAACTCAGAGTATGATCAGCAGTGTGCATGTGTTTGTATATTCAAATTTGCACAAACAAACTGAGCTTTCACCTGCTACAGATATTATAGAACATTTATGCAACAACAACTGTATGAAATCTTTCAATTCCCACACTGTTAAAACTTTTCCTGTACAAAACAGTAAACAACTGGCAGCAGGGCTGCCATATTTTTACTGTAAAATTAACATTATTTTAGTGTAACAAAAATGTATGGTTTTGTAATGTTACTGAAAAATACAGTATGAACTTGTTTTTGATTACTTTCAGTAATTTAGACTTGAGCCAGTTCTCTTGATCCAGCTTTGGGAGCCATCTGACTGTGTGTCTGTGAGAGAGAGAGAGAGGTGAGTTCCAAAATGATCCTCATTGCAAGAAAGAATAAAAGGTTTGAGAATAGCTGGTGTTTATTGGAGGAAGCTCACCATTTTTAAATGCAGCTGCACTCAAAGTGCAAGTGTTTCCTTAGCAGAGTGGATAGATGTGGATTGGAGAAAGAGTTGCAGATATAGAGACAGTCCTCTCAGTGTGAGCTGCAGTGACACATCCCTAGGATATAGTGAAATATAAAGTATAGGAAACAGTAAACTGCAGTTGTAAGAGTAGGAGTAATATAATGTAGTCTTGTGAGAGAGAGTATAAAGACATGCTTTATATACTGTAGTCTTGTGGATCTGTTGTCAGAGAAACATGCCAAATATCTACTTAAATACAACTGAACGGTTCCATTGAAATAATACAATCACAAACATTTAATAGTTCAGTTTATACACCCACAGCAATTAGCAGTTTATACAAGTCAGAGAGAAACAGCCACACTTACACAGATCTGAAAATGCAGTTAAGTTACAGTACAGCGAAGTAAATCTTCAACATTTAATTTCTGAGTCAGTAATTATCTTGAAAATAACCTTGCCTTAAATTGTGAACTACCTGCTGAGTTACCACCCACTAACCCCGCAAGGTGCTCTGAAGTCTTGATGTTACTTCATTTACTGAATTGACTTTCTTAGACTGTGGAAAGTTTACATTTGCAAGACTATCACATGCTTCATGAATTCAATGGGAAAGTACATGTCCACACATTAACTTAGAAATGTTGAAATTAACATGAGCTTGTTTGATAGTCATTTAGCTAGCTACCGAATCCATCTGTCATGTCATGCACAAATTCAGTAAACAAACTGGAAACATCACTGATAAACTTTGCATCAATTCAAGAATTAAATAAAATTGCTACTCACCAAGTAATTAATAAGCTGGGGATGGAAAAAGAACAAAATGGATGCAGCTTCACATGTGCAGTTCAGGTGAATTATCTCTTCCCAGGATTCCAAAAATACTGAAGGACAGGCTACTGTTACTTAAGAGATGTTGGAAATTCAGTTAGCAGTGAAATGCTATAATTGGTCAGTGTGCTGTAATTTACCAGATCTTGTTTTATATTAAAGTGTTGTATTCAAAATAACAGGCCAATACAGCTGAAACTCTGCTGTAAATTGACAACAATCCTTTACAGTCTTCTGCATTTGTCTTTTTGTTTAAAGATGGCATGATGCAGAGTGAGCTTTATTAATCACACTAAAGTTTCATTATGGTGACTCTGCTCCAGTGTCAGATAATGCTTATACTTTCTCAGCACTGAACTGTGCAGGCAGGAGCCCTATTACTGCCACTGTGGAACCATTAATGGTTCTTTAGTTGGAATCAGAAACTAATAAGAAATTCTAGTGGTGGATTGATGGTGCTAGTGTCTATGCATTTTGCTTGCATCATATGTATTTCAATATTTGATTGTACATTAAGTCTTTGATTTATGTAGGGCAGGCATCTCACAACATCCATATTAGGTTGTGTTTACATCAGACATTTTATGCTTTAAGGAAAACAGCAGCGTATGGATCTTGATGTAATTTGTTGTCAGCAGGGCTTTGGTTCTAGATAGCTTCACCATGTTTGAATACAGAAGACAGTGGGCCAGTGTAATGTGTAAAGCAAAAAGTGCAGATGTAAATAATAAAATTAATTATGGGTGAAAGCCATTTAGCGGCTGAAGTCAAATGAGAGATATGTTTGACACATATAAAGTCAAAAATAGGGAGTCCCTCGCTCTGAAATTACATTTCTTATAATTATATTTAGTAAACTTTTCATTTGCAACAGTGAATCAAGTGGATGGGTTGTGCCATGGCCCTGCAAGTTTATATAAAGTCTCATTATAATCTCAGGTTATGTCTTAAATGTGTGTGGTAACTTACAGGTCTAATTTTAAAAATAATATGGAATTGTACAGTTAATATCTGATACAGATATTGTGCTAGAACGACAAAAGACTGTTATTCGGGTATATAAACAGTCAACAGCTAAGTTGCTGCGGTCTCGCGTCCCCTTATTGAAAATAAAGGCATTCACCGACACTCCCTAACAATTTGCTGAGAGTCATCAATTATGCAGGGCAGCCGCGCGCACTGGGAAGGAAGATAGCAGCAACAATATGGCGACAGCCGCAGTTACTCCCGACTCTTTTCTACATCTGCAGTTCAGTGACAGCTGTCTGGATTTGTGTTAATACAAGAAAAAAGTAAGTAGGCAATCCGTTTTCTGCTTTGTCTGATATTTTTGGTCGTGGGATGGATCGCAGTCCTACTTTGTCGACTGACTGCATCCCAGTGCCGCAGAGCG